AATAGATGTACACGTTGGTCATGACAGCAGGTCAGGTTTAAACAGGTGCTAAACATAGTGCAACCATAGATGATTGATGCAAGACAAACCCCCAAAGAAATGAAGGAACAGTGTCTTAAAATTTGCATGCCTCCCCCAATTACACGTGCTTCGACAATATGCTTCTTCTCCCATTGTAATGCCAAGCTATACAAATTCTGATCAGTTGCGAAAATTGTCGGCAGGGCAGGTCAGCTGTCATATGCGAATATTGTAAGCATCGTAGTAGATCAGACTGTAAGATCTATTGTAAAGCTGAATAAATATATTTTAGTCGATCCTCCCCATTCTTTGCATCAGGCTGTTTCACAATGCATTTCGAGGTATCATTCGATAAGGTGCCGATATATCTGCACGTATGCGAAACTAATACACGTAGAAAATATGCAGCACCGCAGACTGTTCGGACTCTCCAGAATGAAGAGCGGGAAATGAGGATTCTGCTCGAATCGATCCTCTCACGTTAAACCGTGCTTTAAGATCTGCATCAAACTTTTGTTCACCAATCCACTTCCTCTACATCACTCTTTGTTCCATGTCTCATTACTGTTTTTCTGTTCATGTGCATTTTATTCATGTTTTAATGCAAATGAGTCAGTGATTGCTGATTGCTGGAATGTGCTATGCTGTGCACTAGGTCTACCTCGGCCTCAAGTTTGAAATGGCTGCTGTGAAATGAGAAAATTAAGCACTCAGCTCAGTAAACAGTACAAATCGTGACAGGAGCCCTGAAGTCGACTCGCGTATCACGCCTGCCGACAGTAAAAAGTATTGCACATGCATATCATGAAAAAGGCAAGCAAATATCCCGCATCTTCAGAACAGTCTACTTAAATCGCCAGTTCTCTCTCCAACGTCTTCTTCAACTCCCACTGGATTCATGCAGAACGTTCTAGTAGACTGTAACGTCACAACCTTCCAAAGCGAATACTTTATTTTCAAGCCTGCAGTGGAATGCCCGGCCACGAGTCTTGCTTGTCGTGAATAGTATATGCTGAAGCACGTCAGAACCGAAGAGGGGTACATGAATTACCTATGGTTGAAATATGAGGTCCATCTCGCATTGTGACTGCGGGAACAAGTCTTAAACCATGTGCCACTGCACTTCTGAATGTCTACTACGAAAGTTCCATAACAGTATCATTAACACTAAAAATACTATGCCGTTGGGGAGCAAAATTGGGTTGAATTGATTTAATTAAACTATTCGCAAAAAAATTAAATAGTAAAATCCAACGAATAAAAAGGCTTGAAGCACACTTTCGCCTTGGAAGGTTTCATTGAGATCGGAATCGACATCTTCCTAGAGTCAGAAGAAAGAACCTCTCGAGTTGTGCCGCATATTGCTAAACAATGCGAATCCGCAAGATACTTCACTGAGAAAG